TAGCACTCCTTTGTGCTATGGATTTGGATTCTGCTGTTTGCGCCCTTGGTCCAGCCAACCCTGATTTGGATTTGTTGTAAAAAAAAACCCTAATTTGGATTTAGGTGTGGGGGGTACCTATGATTCAGAGGCAGAGGCAGACATTGGGGTTTGAGTGGCCGGTTTAGGACGAACCCTAGGTGAGGGAGGCGAGTCAATGGCCCAGAGTTGGCCAAAAATTTCGACGATCACTTCGCCCTCGTCAATCCTTTTACCAGTTGGATCCTCTCTAAAAAGCCTGTCAGAATCTACCAACCCGCTGACTGGTGCGGGGACGCCGCGACCCCTGGCTGATGAGCGGACCCAGCACGGGGCCTTGTTGTCAGCCACGGAGGGTGCAACCATGGCAGCGGTGGGTCGAGCTCTCTCCGAAACGTGTCGCCCATCCCCTCTCCTGCTTGCTCCCATGTGACATTTATCAGGCCGATTTTGCTAGATTACTCCAAAACAATTCTCACTCGGTCTATTAAGCCAATTTAATTCATGCACTCGGCCTGCAAGCCCGAAATCAATCAATTCTGGCTGCCAACAACTACATTTCTCGTTTTTTCACCAAAAAATCTTCGCAATGACCCGATATTCACATTTCACGGTTTGGTTGCACTGTCCCAGAATCGTCAGCAGCGCCACAAATCTGACGTCCCGGGCGGTCGTCCTCCGCGCAATCTACATATCTTTGCTCGTGACACATGCTGGGAAACGAGCTCGTAGTGGAAGACTGGAAGCTGCCACTTGCATGGACAATTGGACACGGACATCCAGATTCTTCGTGGAAGTCTTCCCTAGTTACTTTCACAGGAAAACCAAGACTGTAAAAACCCCAAAATACGCGAGACGAGAAAGTGACGGTCAGCTTCGACGACCGTGGTGTCCAATAACACAATGGCGCTAGGTGTCGTGCGCCCTGCTCCCTCTTGTGCAGCAGTTCCAGGCACTAACCAGGTGTCTTCGGCGAAGATTAAGGTCGAGTTACCTGCAGCATGTGTGATCCAGAGATGTCCGTGTCCAACCAGTCAGCACCGACGAAGCCGTCCACCTGCTCCGTGACTGGCCACGACCTTGACGCTGCCAACAAGGCAGTGTAAATGTCCATCGACGGCGACCGGCGATCGCTGTTGTCCATTTTTCCCTCCTCTTGCCGGCATTCACTCTCGCTCCACATCTCGTTCCAAGCAGACAGTACTGCTTACAGTAAAGGTTAAAGAAGACGTCAGAAGACAGAAGCAATAACTGCAGACAGCAATTGTCGGGGTAACAATCAAATCCGCTATTACTGCAGAAAGGGACTGGTATTTGGGAGATAATCCTTGCACCTTATCACTTAGCAGCTCCAAATTAACCTTAGCACAACACACATACGTCTTTCTTAAAGATGGCAATGGGTACCCACGACCCGAAACCCGATGGGTTCTTACTCCATTGGGACATGGGCATGGGTCACTATTTATAGCCATGGGTTTGTTAATGGGAAAAAACTCATACCCATCGGGTTTGCGGGTACAAGTATTGTACCCGTACCCGCAAACCCATGGGTAAATCTTACCCAGCTCTATAATGTATCCTGTGTACTCTAGCCTAGTTATTATCATTCAGCCCAGGCCCAATAACAACATATATATATAAATAGGATTGGAAGTTTGGAACCCTAGACCACCTCACTTGACCCCTTCCCCAATCGGCTCTGGTGGCCGCCGCTGCAAGTCCGCGCCCCACGCCCGCACCCCTGTTCTCCCCCTACTTCCATACCCCAATTCCAAGACTCGCAGTCACGACTCACGAGCAGCACGCGACTCGAGTACTCGCTTCTGCGGTTCTTGTCCCAACTCTCAAGCTCCGGGCGTCCGTTGCTAGGCCGTAGTCGGCCATGGTGGTAGCCATGGCGGTGACGGTGACCACCGACGGCACCAATGCCCCCAACTGCACCCTCCACCCCCTCCCATCGTCCCGAAGGGACGTCATCGCCAACCCTCCTACGACCGCGGATCCAGAGATTGAGATCCCTGTCGCACACAAGGACGCCACAAGCAAGGGTCGCCTACTCCTCCGCTTAGATGCCGCATCGAAGCTCGTAGTTTGTCGTGCACGGTAACTCCATGGTACCCATTACCCGCTTAGGCACGCAGTATGGGCATATATCTGTACCCGTCTGTGGGTATGGGTTTTTTAAAGGACATGTTTTCTCTTCGCGGGCACGGGTATGGGTTGGTTGTAACCAGCGGGTACGTACCATTGCCATCTTTAGTCTTTCTGCATTGTGCTCATGTGGCTCAGATAGCAACAAACACTAAGGGCATAAGGTCAAAATATAATGCAAGTACGCTTCTAGTAATGAGTGATTGTTGACGCAAAGGTTGGTCACACGCTAGCTAAAACTAGATTGTAGAAGATAACCAACACTCTTTCGTGATGAAGAACGTCGAGGTTTACGAGCAAACCACTAAATGATAACCAATCGTGCTTACGTGATGAAGGATGGCTAGTTTCCGGGCAAACTAGCAAAGGAACCATCGAAGAGCTCGCACGGGAGGGGACCCATCAGTGTGAGGACGTCGCCGGGTTGCCCTAGGTCGACCAACAAGCCCAGGGCACCATCCTTGGTCGTCGGATCAAGCGATGAACAACATGTGCACACAGCCATCACCAGCCTTCCCATGCGCCCACTGCAGCCGGGCTGAATTGGCACCACAGGCGGATACGGCGGTGGTCGTATCCACCTCTTCACGGGTGCTGGGGGAAGTGAAGGCAGCCATGCTTTTCAGATCTTGGTGTTGCCTTGCTATGGCCCCCGCGGCGGCGTTCATTGCGGCTATCGCGGACCTCCAACACAGGCAGCGGACAATGAATGCTACGGACCTACTGATGCGAAATGAAACGGCATTGAAAAAAGGGATTCAGAGGGAATGCCTTTGCTGTTGTGGATGAGCCATCGACGAAGTCCGCTCTTTGTCGCCCGCACGGCACACATGCAAACCAAACATCCGAACAGAGAGGGATAGTGTTATCACGCAACAGCAACCTGTCTTCCTCCTCACGCTGCCGCCGTCCGCACTTCTGCTCCACTGCCCTCTCCCCGATGGCACCCTTGCTCCGCCACCCCTTCCCTCACACATCCACCGTCGGCCAGCCGCTCCCGCCGCCTCACCGCACCACCCGCTTCGCACCCTCACCCCTCGACCCCGTCCTCCACTAATCACATGACAACCACCGATGAGCTCATGTGACTCCCCGGTGTCATCCTCACCGCCCCGCCCTCGGCTTCAACCATCGGTGGTCGGCCGCTCCGCCGCCTCACCGCACCACCCACCTTCCGCCCCCGCCCTCCCCTAATCACAAGGCACCACGCCCGTGAGCTCCGTCATGACGCCCCCACCAAAGAGCCCCTCCCAACCGCCATCTCCCTTTGCCTCGCCATCGCCTCGCCTACCTCCACCAGCCGTGTCACAGTCCCCCAAAAAAAAAATCCTTCTATAGCCAGCCAAAGATGGAGCCCCTAAAACCCAAAACCCTAATCTTCGGCAAGTTCCTCGTCTCTGGGCTAGCGGCAGGAGCAAGCGGTGTTAGGTGCGGCCGCAGTGTTGGGTGGGGTGGGGACTCTTGGCCGGCCCACTCACACCGAGGTCATCCGTCGCCCCGAGCGCGACCGAAGAATGTGTTAGAATGAGTCTGTCTATTGCACAACCATGTGTTTTATACAATTCCAACACATGAATTTTTTTTGCACCATAAGATTAAGATCCAACACCTCCATCCTTCTTCTATCTCTAGCTTTCTTACGCCTTTAAGACAATCACAAGATCACAGATCCACATATCACAAATCACATATCACGTAAAATATTTTTTTCTATGGAAGGACAAAATACTGAGGGGTTGGTTCCATTGCTCGCCTGCTCATCATGGGTCGTCAATCGCGTGGGTCCCCTCGGGCAGTCTTTGCCGTCTTTGTCTTTCTTTGGTGCACCGCCGGTGTCGCGTCATGGGTCGTCGCGCGTCAAGGTCATGGGTCGTTCAATCATAAGAAAGCGCCTTTGCGACGGACGCAGATCTGACGGACGCAGACAAACTGAGGCAACGATCCGGTGATCTAAAATCCATATGTTTTTTTGTGATAAAACACACGTGTGTTGTATAGTAAGAGGACCAGCGACGAGGATGAGTTTTGCTACAATAAAATTCAGTGCACCTTGGGTCCAAACGCGCTTGCGTGCGACCCAGCAGCATGGATGGCTGCCACATGGTGCTATAAAAAAAAGACGTCATGGAGGTGCCAAATCCTCCGCAGCACGTGAGATGCTGCCAATGCAGTTTTAGGCCTCGTTTGGCAGGGCTTCACTTCACTAGTGAAGCCATTTTTTTTTTCTTCAACTCCATGAACAGTTTCACCGGTGGAGCTGAAGCAGTTTTGGTAAACCGTTTGGCAAAATGGCTTCCCTGTGAGAGCATATTTTTAGAGGCCTGAAGAAGGAGCCGGGAGAAGCCACTTTTTTTTTGCTCTATCCCACCCCAAATCATTGTAAGAATATATTTTTAAGGGCTTCACCAGTGAAGCTATTTCACTTTACCCCGTTTGACAGAAAACGGCTCCAAACAACTCCTGAAGCTGATGGAGAAGCCCTGCCAAACGGGACCTTACTGTCTAAAGCACTTTACGCGCACTGAACAATTGACGTTGTATAGATTCACAAAGACCCCGTGTTATGTACAGACCATTTTTGTGGCATACATGTTATCCATCATAAAAAAGAAGTACCAAACACCTTTATTCACAGGACATATACACATCCATGAGATATTACAAGTTCTTGCTCAACCCAGCTGGCTGTCTAATACTATCAAGTTTTTATTGGACAGATTGATGATCGAATCGGCTATTACTCGAGCACTTGACTTCATGTAGCCTCCTGATAGCGCAGCATAGATGGGCATAGTGCACAGAAATACAGCGTTAGCAGATCCATACGACTAGAGGAACGGACCACAAACTTGAGTGAGAAGTATTTCACCTGATGTCAGCATGAGCAGAGGAATGTTTTGATCTTTTGCGAGCCTAAATACCTTCTCGTCTCTGGTAACCACGCCCTCAGGACTTACCTGGAACATGGGGGAAAACTTATCAAATTCTGCATCATCATAAAGTTGTATGCAGGGTGAAGAGGCAAAACTAAATTTATGCGTGTTGCAGTGTTTTAGATATTTGTGCGTGTAAGAATGACAAAACGTTGGTGGTCAGGCATAACTAGTGCAGTGTCCAGCTTATTTTAGTAACTAATGACATCGTGAACATGATCTCTGCATCTAGCAGCATTGCATTGGAGGATGCTTAGGTTTTCTGAAGATAGAATTCAGGAGAAGTACCTTCAATCTGCCCAATGGATCACCATCCAGGATGTCTGTTCCAGCATTGTAAACAATCAAATGGGGCTGAAATCTAATACTGCAGACCTGCAATAATACGTTCCAAGAGGAACTGTGAATAACAAGTTTGTTAAAACTTAAAACAAGCAAATAAACAGCACCAATGAATTGGCATTTATCCATTTCCTTATAACGTAATTTAATAGGATTTAGTCATGTAGAACCAGACTTTGACCGTTTCAAACCTCATGCTCATTTGGATTTATATATACAAAGAGGATACTGAATCATTGATAGATGCACTTGAAATCACAAGTTAAAATGATACATTAAAAGTCACATTATACTGACTAGTCAAAATTTTGGATACATATCATGCAAAAGATGACATTTCAAAACATTAACCTAGTACCCAGTGTAAATATTTCTTGTTCCAGCCAATTTTGCAGGTATGTAAATGTACCTCGAGAGCCCTGTCAAGTTGCTCCAAGTATTCATCTGTTTTTGTCCCACTCTATAATGCACAATCACATAACAAGAATTTCAACTAAAAAAATAAAGTACGTGCAGAGAAGGAGAGAGTGCATAACTAAAAGGTTGCAAGATGAAACTTACAACTAATTCAACTTTTTGATCAATGTATTGCTTAGCAGTGAAATCCTGAAACAGACAAATGTAAGTTTACAAAGAAACAAGAAACAGGAATATATCCGGTGTTGAAGAAAATGGAATGATAAATACAAAACTTGTCCTTTGTTTTGGTGTCTACATCATATTAACGTGGACTGCTGCGAAACTGATAGTGTGAGACCGTCAGAATTCATTGCAGTATAACAGCTGGACGGAACTACTGTTTTCTCTTGGAGAGGTCTTTTGATCTCTCATTGTACTGTTTTTTTCTCTTCTTAATGAAATGACACGCACCTCTCCTGCGTCGTTCAAGAAAATAACTGCTGTTTTCAATTTCGATCTGTGAACAATTACATCATCTAAATGGTATATAAAGCTTGTTCAAAAAGATGATTGTACATTTAGGGTTTAACAATAAAACTTGTGTTCAAGAAGTGAGTAAGAAAGTTCCACATAAGTAATCGCTCCATCAATATGTATTTCATATGACAATATATAAGAGCACAACAAATAACAAAAGAAAATAGCTTCATATACTACAGATATCTAAGGAGTGAGGGTGATGAAGATGTAGACTCTTACAAAGGGATAAATTCCAGCATTGTACATGTCTAAAATGTAAACCCTTCCTGTGAGTGATAAACTGGTATCAAATTGACAAATATAAAGAACCAAAATCTAAAGAAAATTAAAATACCATCATTAGCAAAATCTTTTTCGTGTCCATTTCCTTGGTGGGCATCCAGGTCTAAGATCAATACACTGCAAATGTTTGAAAGGGAAAGTCAATTTGTTTTGTATAGCTAAGTTACACCCTTGCATAGGATTGCCAGCAATGAAAATATATATTGACCGACTGCCTGAGAAGATGCCTACAAGCCTTGCACTGTTCTTGGAAGGAGGATGGATTAACATCACAGGAAATGCGTTGTGGATGCATTCATCGGTCGCACGTATCAGTGTGTAAGAAGAAGGGGCAGGATTCAGTTACACCGTGAAGATCATCAGCAGATTTTCTTTTTTGAAAGTGCGGGGGGGGTTGTTGGCATGGCGCCACAGTTACAAAGGATAAGCGAGGCAGGAGAGCAATACATGTTAGTTACATGAAACTAATGGATCTCCAGAAACTAGATAAGGCGGCGGAGCTTCTAGGCAGTCAGCATTGCCACAGAGCAGTGGTAGCTTTGCAGGTAGCTACTAGTCTCAAACCAAATCATGAGTCCAGATAAGTTTGGTTTGCTAGGCAAGATACATGGGTTTGTTAGTAAAGTAAGAGTCCTAGCTTGTTAGGCAAATTGATTGGGGATTGGTGCTATATAAACAGAAGAGATGTAATTGCAAAGAAAAGCACGGAATAGACCTAAATAACTCAGAGCCTCAAGTTGGGGGCGAGTTGGTTTATCCCCTGCTATCGCTCCTCCCTAATCCGACTCCTTGCTTGCCTTTTCACTACATCTCTTCAGTTTATATAGCACCAAAGCCCAAATCAACTTGCCTAACAAGCTAGAAGTCTTTACTAACAAACCCATCTATCTTGCCCACCAAACCAAACTTTTTAGACTCAAACAAAATTTGCTGATGATTATGCTCAAAAAATTTTCTGATGATCTTCATAGTACGACAAATCACCTTCTTCCTACAACAATGATGCATGCGAACAATGAATGCATCCCTCCACAACAACATGCTTCCTTACACTCGCTCCAGTAACAAAAGAGTGACATTTTTAGACATTGACATGGTTCCCAAAACAGAACTTTGACTAGCAATTTCTATTATAATACATTGGCAAACCATACCACAACTGTATGGCTGTACTTCTGAGACAAACTACTCATACCATTTCTAGCTGTTCATATCAATAGCATGAATTAATTGATGATCAAAATTCAATAACTTGACTGCAAGTAACCCAAAATGTCACTGTTTGGTCACTGGAAGGAGCATATGCAGAACGTGCAGTCAACCAAGCATATAAATAAGAGACTAACACAGTCAAGCATATAACTAAGTAAAACTTAGTTGTTATAGCTAAAATTCTACCTATTAAGGATTTTTACCTTGAGATATTTAGACGGACAAAAGCAAACTGGATGCACAGAGAGATGTCAGCATATGCACAAAATCCACCCCCTTCATCTGCCGAACAATGATGAAATCCTCCACCAACATTAATGGCCCATCCTCTCTCAATCGCAAGTTTGGCTGATAAAATGGACCCACCCACCTGTGAAAAGAAAGTTTATCATCCCTCCCTGATAATCAAATTATGTATTCGGGTTTACAAATAATCCAAAAGCAAGCACATATTCACAACACATTACCTGCTTCCGGAAGGGTATAATAGCTTTTGTGCACAATCCAATTAGGGACAAGCGACACAGGAGGGACCTAATAAGATATCAAACATCTGTCAACCACAATACATAATTCACCACCAATCAGGCCAACCCCACTTCTTCTGAAAAGTCACTACCTCTACAATGGAGGAAACTCTGAAGCTGCTTTTGAGACTGTTCAGATACGCCTCTGTGTGCACCTGGTTAAGCAAGCCATGCAAGGGATTCATCAGGACGAATATACTATGAAGTCTGAACCAGGCGAAAAACAGCTTCCTAATTATTAATTAATTTACCACTAGCAAATCCTCCTTGCTGGCTTCCAATGGCTCCACCATCCGTTTCTTGTCCAGGTACCCTTCCCTGGTGAGGTACCTACAGATGCGGCCCCATTTGGCGGAATCAAATGGGTGCCTGCACAAGGGGTTGCACGCACGCAGTGTCAAACACATTTGAACGCCGATGCGTGTTTCTGCATAGGTGGTGGGCAGGTGGGAAGGCAGCTCACAGCTTCTCAAGCCCGAGGAAGGAGATGTCGTATGCCGGCGAGTACACCACCGGCGCCTGCAAGAAAACATTGAGATTGAAACACGGGCACCTCGCGCGTATCTTGGAAGCTAGAGATGGGACGATGTCCGCGACCGACCTTGGAGGAGGGGACCTCGAGGTAGAGCTTGCTGGAGAGGATGCGTTTCTGGCGAAGGGCCTCCCCGGCCAGGGCGGGCGCCGGTGAGGAGGAGGAGGCCATCTGCCACCGGCGAGAGAGAGAGAGAGGGAAGGGACCCGTGCCGGGTTGGGGAGAATCCGAATGGTCGCGGTGGCCGAGGAATCCTGCCGCGGCCGATCGGCTGTGGCGCGGGGAGGAAGGGCGGTTGCGGCACCGGGCCGTCGGGAGGATTCGGTGCTGACGTACCGTACCATTTTGCGCAGCGGCGCTTGCACGTGCCCATAATTTGCACGGTTGCATCATTTTGCAGTCAAACCCTTCTTGAATTTGAATTTATGTAGTTTTTCTGTTTTTTTTTTTGAGTTAAATGCATGAGCGGCCCCTGAACTTGTCAAGGGGTGTCATTTAGGTCTACGAATTTGAAAAATGTATTTCTGGGTCACTTAACTTGTTAACTGGTGCACCGCAGGTCCACACTAGCCATGTTGGCAATTTTATCTGACGTGGCACGCCACTATACTTGTTGATTGTGTCTGCTATTTTGCATTTAACCCCTCGCCTTAGACTCGCTCTATTTGTGTTTAAGAGAGAGAGAGAGAGAGAGAGAGGCGGGGGCTGCACTCAAGGACACCGCTGCTCACTTTGGCCTCATGAGCCGACGACGACCAGTGGCCTCATGAGCCCGTAGCCGCCGACCAGTGTTGGCCGCGCTTAGCAACTAGCACCGCCAGTAGCCTAGCCTTCACGAGAAGCCACCGCGAACCGATGGACGAGCACCTTCGTTGTGGTCAGAGCACTGTAACATGGCCCTTGCTCCCTCAAAGCAGCCGCGGGCATGGCCGGGCCCGCAAGTCGAGCTTCTCCCGCCATAGTTATCTTCTACCTCGATCATCCACTCATCCTTGCCAGTCAGGTCTGCATACACGCGCAGTGATGAATTCCGTGATCGATCCATGGCGGCAGCCGCCAAGTCCATCAACCGCTTGCGGCGCACTGTTGTCCCGTCAAGCCCACACACCACCGACCTCGCCCGCTCTTACGGCTCGGCCGGTAGCCCACGTAGATGGCGCTCATCGAGTCGCCGACTTCATTGCGACGTGTTCAAGGTGGCCCCGACCGCCGGTCACCGCCACCAATACCGAGGGCATTGACGGCGCCGCCGCCACCCGACACCAGACCATCGAGCGCCACTCGCTGGTCTATCGGAGTCCCAGCGTAGCAAGCGGTGAGACATGGACCGCAATAACGTCGGCGTGTAGTTCACGGAGGCCAAGCCGGCTACACCCTTGTGGGCCTCCGCTTCACCACGCCATCGCCGACGACCCGGGCGCCGCGCAGTTCATGAACGCGGTCGGGAGCCGTTCAGCTGCCGCCGCCGCAGCGCGCAGTGTCGGTGGAGCCGCGATGGGGCCGCCGGCCACGACGCGATCCCGACCATGCGCCGAAGTTCGAGCCGGACTCCCGCGCACCTTCGCTTCGCCATGAACGCGCGCCCATCCCATGTCAGACGCTTCGCTGGGCGGCGGCGCTGTTTCTACGGCAATCGCTACTACATCGAACGCAGGAGCCGGCAGCGAGCAGATCTCACTCTCACCGACGCAGACCGTGTAGGGCTGCGCAGGATGTTGCGAGGATTGAGATCTCGCCAAGGAGCTCGCTCCAACATTAGCAGAGGGATGAGGATCGTGAGCCACCACCAAGGTCGCGCCACCAAGCTCGGCACTGCAAGCCCATCAGACGACCGCCAAAGATCCCCAGTGAAGGATGAGGAGGTGCGCCACCACCATGGTCTGCGCCGCCAAGAAGAATCGGTGGCTAAGCGCCGCCCATAGGCTTGTCGGTTGCACGCCGCTGCCGGTGCGTTTGCGGGCATGGGCGCCTCGTTCTTGCCGTCCCCCACCCCGCCTCGGCTTCCAAATGGCCTTGGCCTCAGACACAAATCCGCTCCCTCCCGAGCTCCCTCTCTCTCTGTCCTTTTTTAAAACACAAATAGACGAGTCTAAGATGACGAGGGGGTTAAACGCAAAATAGTAGACACACGAATAAGTTACGATGGGCGTGCCACGTCGATAAAATTGCCAACATGGTCGGTGTGGATCTGTGGTGCACCAGTTAACAAGTTTAGTGACCCGTAAATGCATTTTTCAAGTTCGTGGACCTAAATGACACCCCTTGACAAGTTCAGGGGCCATGCATTTAACCCTTTTTTTTCTTTTCTCGAACGAGCAAGCATGGACCTAAGATTTGTCACCTCCGTCTCTAAAATGTCGTTTTTACTTCTTGAAAAACAACTTTGACTCAATATATATAAAAATATTAATATTTATGATACATAATTAATATCACTATATAGATATTTAGTTTTTAATAAATTTATTTGGAGATACAAATGTTGCCCGTATTTTCTATAAATCAAGTCAAACTTTTAGCATGAAAACTGTCGGGGTTATAACCCCGGGATGTCTCAAGGCACCGAGGCACCGATTAATCAGAAGGTTACGCGGCCCACAACACACCAGCTAGCGAAAGCCCGAACGACTGAGGCCCAGCTAGGCCAGGGTCAGCCGCGATCCCTCCCTCGTGCCTTAGCCGCACGGCGATCGAAGGGCGCACGACCTCTCCCTCGCCATGACCCCTGGGAAGAACAAGGAGAGGTCGAGCCCGGCCAAGCGCCCCTGTTCTGACAAGAACAAGCACGCCGCACCGACCCCGCAAGGGCCGAGAGGACAGCGGTCACCTCGGGTCAGACGCCATTCCTGTACCACGCCGCACAGACAAGACAATACCGCCCAGGACGGTGACGACAGGTACGATGACCACTAGTTGGATACGGCCCGACAAGACGTGAGTACGATCCCACTCACTACGGGATGGGTCCACAACGAGGGCTTTGACATAGAGACCATCCAGACTGCGTGGGAACCACGACCCCAACGATCAGGATCGTTGAAAGCTCTAGTTTGGTTTTGGTTAATTGATGAAACCCTAAGTGCTAACCTAGTTTATCAAGATGATTATGAGATAGGTAGCACTACTCCAAGTGATGAAGCAATGACGATGATCATGACAATGGTGATAGCATGGTGATGATCAAATGCTTGAACTTGGAAAAGAAGAAAGAGAAAAACAAAAGGCTCAAGGCAAAAGTATAAAATGTAGGAGCCATTTTGTTTTAGTGATCAAGACACTTAGTGAGTGTGATCACATTTAGGATAGATAGCCGTACTATTAAGAGGAGTGTAACTCGTATCGAAATGCGGTTATCAAAGTGTCACTAGATGCTCTAACTCATTGCATATGCATTTAGGATCTAGTGGAGTGCTAACACCGGCGGGATTCGACGCTTTCGGGAAAATGAAATGTCTATTTTCTATTGCGCCGGATGCAAAATTCTTGGTGGTTGGCACACTTGAGCAAGGGTGAAGAAGTAAGAGTTGAAATGGAGTTGATCGAAATGATGCTGGCGTCAGTCTACTGACCGGACGCTGGGTCACTCAGCGACCGGACGCTGAAAGGCTGCTTTCGGTCGAGCTGTCAGACGGCACAGTGGCTAGGGTTGAGCACCGGACGCTGGCTGCGTCCGGTCAAGGTGGACCGGACGCGTCCGGTCGAAAAAACATGCCTCGGGGAGCTTACTGGAAACGACCGGACGCTGGGGCTTCAGCGTCCGGTCAGTTTTACCGGAGCGTCCGGTCAGCTTCGCAGCCGTTGAAATCTGACGAGCAGCGTTTGAAGCTGGTGACGCGTGGCGTCCATCGGGCGACCGGACGCTGAGGGCCAGCGTCCGGCCAGTATGACCGGAGCGTCCGATCAGAGCGTGTTTTGCCCAGTGAAGGGGTACAACGGCTCTATTTGATGGGGGCTCTATTTATAGCCCCATGGCCGGCTTAAGGGAAAACTCTTGCACATTTTCATTGACATAGCAACCTTGTGAGCTTAGCCAAAGCCCTCCCACTCATCTCCATCATTGATCCATCATCATTGTGAGATTGAGAGAGAATCCAAGTGCATTGCTTGAGTGATTGCATCTAGTGGCACTTGGTATTCGTGTTGCACTGCGGATTTTGCTTGTTTCTCTTGGTGGTTGCCACCACCTAGACGGTTGGAGCAGCGGTGAAGGATCGGCACGAGTTGGTGATTGTTCGTGGCCGCCTTCGGTGAATGTGAGGGGAGTTGTACCTTCCCCGGCGAAGCGCCGAAAGGTAACTCTAGTAAATTGCTCGTGTCATTGAGTTACCTCACTTGTGGGTCGGTTCTTGCGGTGTCCAATCGTGTGGACGAGGTTTGTGAAACACCTCTTAGCCGCCGAACCACCAAGTGTTGGTCGACACAACGGGGACGTAGCATGTTGGCAAGCACGTGAACCTCGGGAGAAAATCGATTGTCTCTCTTCTTTGTCATTCTCCCGGTGATTGGCTATATATTCATCTTGTGATTGGTTCATCTCCTACACGTCGGTATAAATCACTCTACTCACTCATTTACATTCTTGCAAACTAGTTGATACAAGCTCTTTAGTGTAATTAGAATTGAGAGCTTGCTTTATTATTTACATTCATCTAGTTGAGCTCTTTAGAGTAGCAAGGTTGAGAGCTCTTAGTGAGTAATTACATAGCTAGTTTGTGTGCCTAAGTATTCATTGCAACTAGAATTGTTGGATAGGTGGCTTGCAACCCTTGTAGAGCTAGAGCAAGTTTACATTACGCTATTTGTCATACTAATCAAATTGCTCTAGTTGATTTGTAGATTTTTAAATAGACTATTCACCCCCCCTCTAGCCATATTAGGACCTTTCAATCGTGGCCCCTGCTCCTCAAGACAATGAGACGATCAATGACCCGGGGGCGGCTGCCAACTCACGTACGACACCCTAGAAAATCAGGAGACGATGACGAAGACCACGGCGGAGACCACGCGCGCATAGGACGACTGGCGAACCACCGTCGTGCCTACAATGCTGCCATGGCCGGCATGGTAGCACCACGCCACATCATGCCACGACGTGGTCACAAAACCATGATGACAGCCACACCCGGACGTGTTCCACAAGACAGCGTAGCCTGCAAACTAAGTTAGTTAGG